AGGGTGGTGAGGCCCAGGGAAGTTGTGCCATTTCTGGAAGTGTTCAAGGCCAGATTTGATGAGGCTTTGAATAACCTGGTCTAGTGGAAGGTGTCCCTGGCCATGGTGGGGGGCCATTGGAACTACATGATTTTAAGGTCCCTTTCAATCCTAGCCAGGATTGAAATAGTCTGAGGGCTATGATCATTTTGTATGGGGGGCTATACTTGTTTCCTATGGAAATTTTATGCCTATCTGAAATAATACAAATATTTCAGTCCAGGAAATCTTCTTCTGCTCATTCTGTCCCTCTTGACTGTGCTGAAGGCCACTACTCATGGGCAAAATCGGGGATAGAGAAATATGGGTCACACAGGAAACAATTTTTAAAGCAAATCAGGACAAATCTCTGCACCACCATCACCACACACATTCTCACAGAGACTAACTTCTGTGCAAGTTCTCCAAGCTCTGTTTAAAGCTTCTGAGCAGTCGAGAGCTATGGGAAGGGGTGGAGCATTTGTTTCAATTTGAACTACTCCAGCAGCAATGTCAAGAGCACTGGACAACCCGGGTTTGAAAACATGCCTCAGAAAGGTAGGTACCACATCCTCTTTGCATCTCCTTTCTCAGATGCTGGACAGAAACCCACGGTCAACCACAACCACAGTCATCAGATGCTTCTTTTTCCACACTATTGTGGCTGTGGGCTGGTCCACTTTATAGTCTGCTTTCACTGCCTCACTCCTTTTTATAGTTATGTAATAGGGAAAACATAATCCAGTCATAAATTACTGCCCAGAAATCAGTTCTGTGCTGAAATTTGGCTCCAATTTCCATGTAGGAAGTTCGAAATGTTAAGATAATTCACTGTTCAAAGTTAAATGGTCTTAATCTCATCCTTTTAAGTACTTTTGATTGCAAATCAGTATTAGTCAAGTTTTCTTGGTTTTGAAAGCTTTGCTAATGCAGATGCTAATTGTCATGGAATTTTGCAAGCCACAAATATACTTCTCACAGGTTTTCAGATGTCTATTAAGCTTCTCTATCACTCTTTTTAGCCCTTGAAGATATGCCAAAACACAATGTTAAAATTATGTAGTTTCCCAGTTGCATCTTGCCATATGTTGAAAGATATGCCTTTTAGAGTTCTGTACAGAGCAAGTCATAAGAAGTTAAGTATTTCCATGCTGCAGAACAAAGAGGAATTTTTGTTAGTACCCTTCTATTCCCTTACTGATTTCAAAATACTCATGAGATGCTAAAAATCATCTCTTTTTTTTCTTCCAAAAGTCACTCTTGATAGGAAATTAGAAATTCCCACTTTCAAGACAAAATTGGTCCTATTTACAAATCCCCTAGAAGGCTGTGCTTAAGGTAAAAAACCATCTTTCAGAAAGGTGCTCAATGGGTGATCTCTACATTGTCCTTTATCTTAGCTTTCCTCGTTTCCCCTTCCCTCCCTGGCCTTGCCTCAATTTATTTTTAGCATTATCAGGTCAAATTCCACTCTTGGTTGATTTCAAAAGAAGATAATAAATAATAATTATTCCTTCAATAAATTAAAGTTATTTCAAACATTGTGTTGGGCCATGTCAGCTGCAAACAAAATCCTTCCTGGGACAGTTCTACAACTGTTGAAGGACACGCTTTGTAGTAACCCAGGATAATATAGCAAAGACTGGTGCAGAGGGTCACAGTATTCCTAGAGCATTCTGAAGTGTTTTACAAATTGGCCATTCAGCAGGTTGGAGTTCACAGAACTCATTTAAATCCTAAGCAGTGAAGCCATAAGATGCCTCCTGCTGTGGTACAGCTATTGGAAAGGGGGCAACTTAATGCTACCACCTTGACTTTACCACTCTAATCATATTCAAGTCATAAAGCAGGATTAGAGTCCACCTTAAAAATCAGTTACTTGCTGAATGTTCATGGACAAAAAAAAAAGCCCAACAAAAACCCCACACCCAAAACTTTCACAGTATCTTAAATCATGTCTGTTTGCATGTCTCTTCCGTTAGTTTCCTCTGAACATCCCACCACACAACCCTCCCACCATTTCATCCTTCTCACTTACATCACCGTAATTACAGCCCTGGCTGATCTCCTTTGTGCTGATCTTGAGATTCTTTCTTTGGTCTTGCCACCTACTCATTTCTGATTCTTCTCAGATAACAGAAGCTTGTCTCCTTCCCAGACCTCCCACCCTCCTTCTCCCTCTTCCTTACACCATCCATGCGAGTAAGAAAGCTATTCCCAAACTTATTATCTCCATCCTGTAAAGACTACAACAGCTCTGCTGTGGGCCTGGTAAGATATTATGCTTGTGGGCAAAACATTCTTTGGATTAGGCTTGCAGAGGGCAAGAGCCTTAACCTTCAGAAGTTTACTTTGAAGTCTGGTTGATTCAGGTTCCCTAAATTGTTCTGTGCATCTACTTCCAGCAAGAGCACATCTGTACATCTCCAGTGCAGATCATCCACTCAGCATGAAACACTTAGTGAGGCTGCCTTCACAGGCATATATGGAGTCAACAGCACACTTCCCCTTCCCTGAAGAACATACTACTGTTCTCAGACTCTATGTTACAAATTGCCTGAAGACAGAGACAGATATTGCCAACAGTTTCCACACTGTTACAAAGTCTAAGAGGACAAAGGAAGGCAGGAGTGTAAAGGTCAAAGGGAGAGAAAAAACCCCACACTCAGAACATTCAACCTGTCATACAGAAAATGCAGAGAAACTCCAAAAAAGTAGGTCAGCATAGGCAAGACTGTAAGGCATCCAAGAAACCAAATATTCCTTGTTTTTACACTGTCACTTGAACCTTAGTTATATTCCAATCCCAGTCAAGTACTCTGCATGAATTCAGATAAAATTATGGGTATTTTGCCTACTGGTACTGTGTTAAGATCAAAGTGAAAAATATTCACAACAGTCATGGACCTGGGCAACTAAGCTGAAATATCAATTATAAAATTCAAGGTAAAAGCACTTTATTTTTCAGTATAATGTTCTAAGTAACAATATTTTACAGCTACATTTGTTGTATAGGCTACAGACCCCCAACACTGCAATCCACATCTCAAATCAGCATGACTCAGGCACATTGCAAAGGGCAAGGCTGCCTGCTTGCCTGAAAAACTTCTGCTTATTAGGAAGAAAAAAGAGCATACATTTTGCCTTTTCACTTTACTTCAGCTTTAAAAAAAAAAAAAACAAAAAAACAAACCAACAAAGTCTTGTCTTAACCAAGTTTAGACTAACCAGCATAATGGCATAACTTCAGAAGAGGCTTCAATCATGCTGACTGCTGACTGACTCACTGCACACAGGAAAGTGAAGTTGGCTTTCTCAGGCTGAAAGTCCAAGCAGAGCAGAAGGCCAACAGGAGCCTGCTCTGCTGACTGCTCTTGAGTGCCACAGGGAACCTGTGGCCAAACAAGGCAGAGAGGACAGAGCCCATTTCTGATACAGTGCATAGGTGATTTTGAAAAGTTGTAATTTTATTTGCATGATTCCTGGAATTCTTGGGGATCTCCCAAGTGCAATTATGGGTTAGTAGCTTGGAAGCTACTATTATTTCAAATTAATGCCATTCCTACTAGAAAACACATCACACTGAGAGAAAGAGAGGGATGAGCCTTCCAACACAGACACTGAGAAATTAGAATCTCACTGTGGTACTGTGTGCACTCACAAGCTGACTAGATGGTGGTGTTGCACACATGTGATCACTAGTCATTCCACCCTCAGTGCAGGTAATGTGATATAAAGAAAGAAAACACATGCTGGAAATACAACAACCACAAAAAACCCCAACCTGCACCACACATGAAATACCACCGTACAGCTGTGGGATAAATTCTTGAAACAACTGAAATACAGTCCCATTTTCTTAGCAGGTGTTTTGTTAGTATACAGGTGAATAAATTGTTTTTAAAAGGTGTACCCAGCCAGCCAGAATCTTGTTGATGTCAGGCCATAAAATATGCTTCAAAGCCATCGTCTACCCTGCTCTTATGAGCTGTGACAGTCTGGGAGGGCTTGCACCACTTAATAAACCCATCCCTGGTTCACAGGTGGACTTGTAGTGAGTCAGTGAGGTATGATCAATTTGAAAATATTATGGTTAAGCAGTGAAATGGTGAACACCTAATAGATAGCCGGTATAAAAACCATCAGTAATCAAAGTAACATCAGCTTTGGGATATGGTAGTTCTGCAATTTTTGCTAAATTCATATTATTGCATAAAATTTAAAGGAGGCTTATTTTACAATTCAGTTTTATCAGCAGGAAAGCTTTAGAGATGTTCTTACCATGCTTCAGATGTAGGCAGCTGTCATTCTGGGGCCTGTACCTGTAGAAGATTGTTTTCCTTTAACAAATTTCTGTTACAGAGTTTTTGCACATTCCAAGTAAATTTGTTTGCTACAGTGTTACATGGATTTTTTTTTGTGTGTGCTTTTTGGTTTTGTTGTTTGGGTTTTTTTATGGTTCTTATACCAGCCATTTTTTGTTGGGGAAAACAGGGTGTTTCTTTATAAATATTTTAAAGGCAAAGAGGAGACCTCACTGATGCTTTTAGCCAACCTACTAGGCAGCTGTTAGTGTACAAAGAAACGTAAAATACAGTGAGATAAAATACAGTTACTACAAAAGATCTGTGTGAAGTTTCCAGTGTCCAAAAATACCACACAGTATTTGAGACATAATTAAGTCTAAAGATGACACAACAGAGATTGAGGAGAAAAGCAAAGGTAAAGCAGGACAGTGATTGCAGTAATGCTTAACTTCAGCCAAAGATGTTGATGCCGTCAGGACTGCTGCACAGGAAGGTGTAAGGGAAAGCAGGCATGGGTTGTGTGCATGTTCACAAACTTAGATTCCAAGGGAAATATCTTAAAACATCCACCAGAAGCAAGTGTTAGACAAAAGCTTGTAAAAATTAAATAGCGCAAGCCCTGGTTTCTAAAATACACCTGAGGTGAATGGCAAGTAAGAGGTGGTCATGGCCTACCTGATGCTGATTCCTGCAACTTTTCTCTCTTCCTCTTCTTTTTCTTCCCCTGAAAAATAGGAAATTTTATCATGCCACTACATTCACAGAATGTTTTTTTGTCACTTACCTCACAGCAAAAGTCATCTGGACACTGAAAATGTTAGGAAAAAACCCAATTATTTTCAGAGTAGCTTTTCTATCCCACTTTTAAAGAGTTCAATGGTAACAAAGTTTGCTCTGAGCATCTGTGGAGAAATATGCACATCAGCAATACATATATTTATATCCACATGGAATTACAATTTCTGGCAGTTTTTCAACTAACACTGGCAGCTGCAAGCACCGAAAAGACTTCTCATGCTCAATAATCTGATGACACGTATGTTGATATCATAATTTATGGCTCTTACAAGAACTCTTCACACATTCAGATACTTACACTGTCATACATGGTAGGAGCAGACAGGGTGTTGAAAGTACCTAGGACAACCACGACTTGTCCCCAGGGTGCAAACCAGCCAACTAAAGCTGTTCTGATAATGCTGGTACCTGAACAAAAGCCAAGTCTGCTTGTGGCTGTGCCCAGAGAGTGTGCTCTGCAATAACCAAACAGCAGAGACTGAACAGCAGAGCACCCTTAACACGGCTGAAGTGCAGAACAAAAATGAATGCCTGGCAGCTGTCTTTCTGAGAGACCACACTGGCCACAGCCTGCCAACCTACACACTCAGCCTCCTCCTGCACCCCCATCTATGGAAATGGCCACAGCTCCTGCTTTACACAATCTGTCAACTGAAACAAAAGGTCAGCTTAGACCCACAATTTTAAACCTCAGTCATCTTGCGTCACCCTAACCACCACTGATATTCCTCCATATGTCTTGTCTTCATTGCCCTCTGTAATCAGTGAAAGCTTTTTGTGTGTGTTTTAAGAAAAAATCATATCCATTTATATTTTAAAGAAGCCTCCAGACAGGCTGCAACAGATGAGCTCTGGCAAAGGCTGGTGCAGTTTCTGTGAGCAGGGCTGCAGCCTGCTGCCCATCCTCTGGCCCCACCACTCTCATGGCTGGCAGTTGCATGTCCCAGCACAGAGCATGCCACACATACACTGGCCTCAGAGGGGAAGGCACAGGTGCTGGGACACACCTTTCCACAAGCTGGCTCTGCAAGGTGCTGAGATGGACAGCAGGTGATGTGAGAAACCACCTCAAACCCCTGCAGTGCTCACTGATCGACAGACAGCAAGGGAGGACTCCAAATACAGGCTGTGATGAAGTTCCAGCACATGAACTTAAGTAGCCTCCACTCTGTTCTGACAGTCTGGGCCTGCCTGACTCTCAAGCTCCTGTCCTTATTTATCCCAAGGCTGGCAACAGGGTTGGGCAATGCCTTGTGAGCAGGATTCCAAAGTCAGGACCAAGACTAGAAGTTGGAAAACACATTTCAAGGGCTCTGGGGAGCTCCCAGCAATATGCTTCATCACTTAGGCACCAAGGCAATGCATTTTTAGAGAGGAAAGTGCATTAGTGCAGATGTTAACATGGAAAAGTCATGGGAGGAAAATTTGTTTTATTCTCTATGTCAGGCTGACATCAAGTGCTAAAGCATAAACTGAAAGATGATCTGAGATCTACCTATGAGATAACACAAGTGAACAAATGTAAGACTGGGCTGAAAACTAGTTGTCAGCATTCCCAAATAAGATAGTTTCTGACAACTGCAGCGCACACAGACACCTTCACGTTGTGAAAACATTGTGCTTCTCATGTCTATCACACAATTTTGCATGATTGCTTTGGGTATCAGTAATAAAAACATATGAAAAAGATAGTTTCAACAGTTGAATAACAATGTTTAACATTTTCTTCAAATTCCTAAAATAAGGCAAAAATTCCTAAAACCAGGCAAACCAAAGTAGAAGAACTAAAACCAAACCGTACGCATTTTTTACTTGTACTGTTTTGTGAAACAGAAGAACCACACCTAAGTCACTTCCAACCCTTAAAATACTGGAGTAATACCTGTGCTAAATAATTACAATTCCACTTTTTGATTGCTAAAGTTAGGAAAACTGAAGAGAAAAAAAAAAGATGCCACATATCTGAAAAAGTTTCAGTAATAAACTGTGCTCTCCTATGACCACCGTCTGACCACCACTGCAGAACGTGTGCATTCCTGGAGAGGCAGAGGGGAGGGCTGCAAGAGGAAGCTAGCAGAGTTCTTCATTGTAACATACAGGACTGGAGTATGTCAGAGCTATACTTCCACACAGGATGTAGGTTGGAAGCACATCAAAGAGATAACTCATACGTGCCACCTCACACACTCCAAATGTCTGTCAAGGCCTTTAAGAAACCACAGGTCCGTTGCTTGTGCTGTGTGGCACAGGCTGGGGCAGAGCACAGGGTTCTCAAAGCCAACGTGACCAAACATCACAGGACCATCTTGAAGCTTGATGTCAAGTAAGCACGAGCTGATAAGACTCCAAAGTGGTGTGATTTTCCAGCAAGTGAATTTGAGACAAGCTAAACCCCCTTGTTTCCAGGGAGTCTTTCCCTAAGACCGTTTGTTCCCAGCTATACTTCAAGGCAGCTCTGTTGACACGGTCTGGTTACTGGAAATAAACCCTACCTGTGTAGTGTCAGGACAGTTTATTTGCCATATAAAATGAACAGAAAGAAGCTGCTAGGGCTTTCAGTTGTGTCTGTGCTTACAGAACTGGGCATGCATGTCAGCAAGGCCAGAGCATTTCCTTCAGAGTTAATCACATAGTTTCTGTGTCAATGCGTTCTGTGCCAGTTTCTACAGTCTCTGTTACACTGTGTTTAGGTACCTCAATGCTTAATGTCCAAAGACATCACTGAAGTAGAGAAAAACTACTGTCCCCCTAATGCAGAAGGAAAATTGAGCCAGATATAGCATGTACATTTCCTATCCCAGTAGATGGTGTCACATCTAATGCAGGGACAGAAAGGAGCTCAGATCTCGGGTTAGGATCAGTGTCTCAGGACTGCAGCTTCTGAGCTTGATATCATCACATTTGGCTACATTGACAGCTCATTGGAGGCACCAGAATGTAACCATACAGTGAAGGCTATTTAATATTTAATTATAAAACAAGAGTAACTGTAAGAAAACTTCTTACATATACATTTATATATCTATGTATAAAAAAGAGTCTCTACCATGAAGATTACTTATACAAGATTTGCACAGATGGACCATTCTGAATTAATTTCAGCTAAAGGTCAGTCTGCATTGAGACCCCTGGGCTTTCAGTTCTCTTGAAAATGAGACATCCTTTTTTTTCTCAGGTCTAAGAAAGATTTCTGGATAATAAATGATCAAACAGAAAATGATGGAAAATTCACAGCTGTACAATATAACATGAGCTTCCAGACAGTACTGGCCATTGTCTTAGGAAAAAACTTTCCACGCTATTTTTACCCCTCAAAAACTGTGAATTTTCTAAGAATCATCTCAACAACAACAACCCAAGTTTTCTGGGTGCTAAAAGTGAAAACAAATATAAGGTTTATGTTATATGTATGTTCACCATCCCTTCATCCAGAACTTTCCACATGTTACAGAGGAAAAGAAGAAACAATAGTAATTTTGGAAGTTACAAAAAGAAAATGAATTTTAAAGAAGAACCTTCAAGTGAGTGACTTACATAGTTGTCTCTTGCAGACCAGCCTGGATAAAGCTGCATGTGTAGCTGCCTTTCTTTACGAGCTAGTTCATAATATTTTGCTTGTTCTTCACGGGAGAGAGCATGCCACTGCAAACAAAATAAACACACCTTTAGACTAGGAACTAACTTATACCTAGGCAACAGATGACTTGAGCAAGTGTTTTAGTGACTTTGATTCAGTCCTTCCCCACTGCAAAAATGAAATTCATTAGCAATTACAAGCACCTGTGTTTATTAACGACTTTCAGGCATTTGTCAGCTCTGCAACTGCCAAGTGCCTTGAGCAAGACAAAATTATTTATGGAAACAGGGCTCACCAAATAATCTGCTCACAGAACCGTGCTCTCCCAACACTACTTAAAAAAACCAACAACAAACAAACAAAAGCAAACCCCAACAAAAAAACAGCAACAAAAACCAGCTTGTAGCTCCTGACACAACTGAGGGGGTTTGTGCTGCTTTTAAAGGGCAGCAATCTCCCCTTGACAGAAGAGTCTGCTGTCTTGGTCTCAAGCAGCCCCTAAACACAAGTTTTCAATGCCAACACAGAAGGCTTTCTGTGCACCAGCAGCCCTGTTCCAAAATCATCTTCTAAATATTGAACTTTAAGGTACCTACTTTCTGATTGAAAAAGGAAATGACAACTGCAAAAGTTTCAAAGATAAAAAAAATCACAGAACTACAGTCTTACAAATTATATGAGTGACCTTTGTAGCCAAGCAGGAATAAATTTCCTCGTTTCATGTACTTAAAATTAAAAATGCCTCCCCCCCCAAAAAAAAACAATAAAAAAACCCAATAAAAACACAAAAAAAAACCAAAACAACCAACCAACCAACCAAACAAACAAACAAAAAAAAAAACCAAAAAAAACCCCAAAAACCACCTGCACATTTGGAAAGGTACCAGCTACATTAGTATCTAGTAATTTTGTTCTTGTTGAAACACCTATCATAGACCTGAACCAGAAAGAGTAAAGGCCTTTTATTTAGAATTAAGTTCCACTGCTGCAGCATTAGATGCGTCTTCTTGTTTGACAACATCCATGGGGAAGTAAGGGGAGAAGAAGTTATTTAAAAAATCCAAAAACCAGACAAACAATAATTAAGAAATCATTAAGACATTCATACAAGACTAACATACAGAACTATGATTTCAGATCACATCACATTTGTATGATTTAATATGTTGTTGGGTTACACAGCAGAGGATGGCTCTTATCTGCCTTGACTAGCAAGGTGGATGTGTTATTGACAGCCCAGAAGCTCAGCCTGTCTGCAACTCTCAAACTCTACATGCACATCCAAAAACTGGAAGATAGTGAACACAATGCTGTGGTATCAGGGAGCCCAGCAGCATGCAAAGTGTCACCTCATGAGAACAAAGGTGGCTCCTCCTCTGGGACAGCACAAGGTAAATAGTGACCAGGATGACTGAACACAAAACACTTGACAGTAATTAATGTCCAAGCAATTGTATTGGAAAACTCATGCCTTGTTTGCACTACAGGAAAAGTGGAATTTGAGGTACTTTCAAGGAGAACAGTAACTTGAAAAGAGGAGTCCAAGCTGCAGAAAAAGCACACAAGGCTGAGGCTGATTCCTTACCAAAACAGAGATAAATAAGCCACTGCCCTGGTTCAGGCCAAGAAAACAAGGCTGACACACTAAGCAACGAAGCTCAATCATCTGGGACTGCCATCACTTGTAAGGGTAGTGATCATAGAATACTGTGACTCAAAAGGGACTCTCAAGGATCATAAGTCCAACTCTTAAGCAAATGGCCCACACATGATCCTAAAGACTCGGATCTTGCATGAAAGCATGGAATAGGCAAATATCAAGATGCCCTTTAAGAGGAGGTAACAGGAACAACAGAAAGCAGAAGACTGCATGAACTGGGAGAAGTACCAGTAGATTTCTGCTCTGTTTGGAGGGGGAAGTCTTCCAACCCTAATATAAAAGGAGCACTTTAAGGTCATGTACTGGTTTCCCACTTAAAAGTATAGGGTTTTCTATAGTCACAGTGCCTCTCGATACTGCCTTGGTCAGTGATCAAAAGGAGGTATTCACTGGGAATTTGAATAATCCCTACTCAAACTCAGATCAATACAGAAGTCACCCCTTTCCTCATTTCTGGGAGTCAGTTGCACAATGGGCATTTACCTCTGCTGCCTTCCCTTGGAAGAACAACACTGGCAGAGAACACAAAGGCTGTACCGTGAGCTGGCCTGCACAGGGTTTTTTGTGAGCATGGAAAGTACAAAACACAACTGCCATGCCACAGAAGCATACAGTGCTGAGCATGGCTGTGGTACATGAACTGGGATCATCAGTCCGCAGCTGATGACTTCAGAAGACATTCGAAACTTGGCTGGAAAGGTTCCTGAGCAACCTGAGGTAACTGGACCTGCTTTGTGCAGGTGTTGGACTACATGACCTCTGTGGGTCCCTCCTGCATGACTACAACTGGGCCACGTTATATTCACTTTTGAGTTTCATCTCCAGTGGCATCCAGGGTTCATCTCTGAATGATGCCTTCCTGCCCTGATGGACAGTATCCTAAGGGAGGACCCAGAATATGATCAGAATGCTCCTTCTGTGTATGACTGAGGGTATTTCATGTCTGAGATGCTGACACCACAACGTGAGAGGAACAAAAAATAATTCGATGATGTTGCTAATGCTGAAAAAGAAAATCGAGATACTGCTTTCATTTTTGTTTCATGTTGTATCTTCTATAGCTAATTTGATAGTTGCACATCAGTTATCACCTCAAGCAGAAAGCCTTCACACCCAGCTAAAGGGAAACACAAATTAGCAGCACACGTGAGCGCTCACAAACACTGCTGTACATACCCTTCTGCCAAGGATCTGGTTGATAGCTGCACTTTCTTTCAGAGTACACTCTGCTACAACGTTTGCTCTCATTTCTTTCATGTACAACATGAAAGCATTCAGAGGTTTCTTAATATGAGGTCTTTTTGGCTCTTGTTCTTTTCTCTGTTCGTGCTGAGGCTTCCTAAAACGTGGTTGGGAAAGGGAAAGGAAAGGAAAAAAAGTATTAATTTGCCTTCAACTTAAAAAGATCCAATGGAAAATTACTAACTTGTGGTTACAGTAGCACTTGAGTAGTAGGAATGAGAATTTCAGTGGTCATGTCCCATCCGCTTTCATATCTTTTAGTTTAATACTCAGGGAGGACAATAGATTGACATTCTCTAGCAAGTAACATTTAATCTGTGAATCTGCTCCAAAATTGTCTCAATTCTCTTTCTGAAAGGCTCTCCATGGTACTCTAAGACCACTGCCACAGGCAGGAGAGTGGCTTCTCATCCCCTTCTTTCCTAGGTCTTTTCCTTTGAGTACTAAGCAATGAGACTGCTTTTTACTAGCAAATTTTGCAGGTAAGAACTTTTCCAGCAGAAGTTCATGAGGTCACACTCAAGAACCAGTCACAACTGGACAGGTCCATGATTATGACTGAATCAAGATGGCTGTTGCCAACAGCTTAAAAGTGCTGGAGTGGAATGAAAAATGGCTTCTCATTACCCTTAGTAAACAGTAGCCCAGAGTCCCTGTTTTAGTTATAGGAGAAGAGTTAAAATTCAAAGAGGTCATGAAAGGCACATTTTTTAAAGCATCCTTGACTTCTTCAGATGGAATTAGTTCTCAAACATTTCATTAAGGGCTAGAGCAGAAAGGCAGACTCACACATGCATGAGCTCACTGTCATTGTGCAGATGTTCTTGTTTTACTTGAGGTGTTACAATAGCTGGGTGAGGGATTCCAGTTGTGTGAGGGCCTGGAGGACCAGGAATCATGTGATGTGAAAACCTAAAAGAGAAAACAAGGCAAGGTCTATAACCCCACTGAGGACAGGCATCAAACATGTATAACAGCAGCAGGACACTCCAAGAATGCAAATGCTATGGAGCTTGCAATGAAGACATCTCTTAAAGAGTACACCAAAAATATTTGCCTAAGATTTGTGCATTGTAGCCCAATTATTCAAGAAAAACAAACAAATGAGTCAACATTTTGGTTGTAGAGGAGTTGTTTTACTAGTTTTCAGGCACACACTTTTAGCAATGCACACAAGAAATATTTAATATTTGTACTGTTGCACTGTCTAGCAATAAAAATACACATTTCTTAACAAAAAAAAATGTATTTCCACACCAAGATATCAACATCCTTGAAATATCCACCACCAGCCAATGCAAAGGAGGAAACTGCCATGCAGAAACAAATAAAATGAAAGAAGAGTATTTTCAAGAAGTCCCTGATGGCTCTCTTTACTTTTCAAGGTACTTAGGGTAAAAGATTTTAACATAATTTCATCTAAACCCACTATTCTTACCTCAAATGCTTAAAAGAAACTTTGAAAATCCTACATCCTCAATGAAGGATGGGAGCAGGGAGAGATTTTTTTTGTCCTAATTAAAGCTTCCTTTCACTTGTACAAGAAGGAAAATGGAAAATAAAATCAAAATACCACTAACTGAATAATCCCACCCTACTAACCCAGGCAGTTCTCAAGGACAGCTGAGACAGATCTTGAAGGTGCTGAGCATTGCAAGCTCGGGTGCAGCAAAAAACCTGCATGCTGTATTTTAAACTGGTGGAAAGTATGGTTAACATGAAAAGCTCATGCTCCAAAGTTTTGCTGAATGAGTGAAGGCTAAGGAATGCCATCCAGCCTCTCGTCATTCCCTAGTCTCCTTGCTGCCCTTTTCCTTCATGATCAAAATAAAGGAAACACAAAGCCCTGTAACCAAATCAAGTGATTTTATCACGGAGAAAGAATGTGTTTTCTTCCCAATCACCCTGACAGGCACATGTTTATCATTCCCCTGTAAAGAAGTGAAGGGACAGTGATAATCCAAAGGAGCCCACACACAAAGAGGTAAGAGGACCTACCACTTATCAATGGCCTGCCTTAAATCCCTGTGCAGGAGGATGTCTCTTCTACAGATGACAGAAAAAAACCCCAAGAATTGTATATTGCAACCTCTTGTACACCAAGCACAGGATGCAGAAGCTGTCTTTAGAATGCGAAAGCAGAGCATAGGAGGTCTGGAGTGTGTCATGGCCAAGTCTCAATTAGCATTGCTTGCTTGCACTTCGACATAAAAACACAGTGCCTGAGTCACACACCAGTGCAATTACTGTGCTGGCATCCCCTGCCATTAGTGGCTTTGGGCTATGAAATACCTACTTGTGAGCAAGATTCCACACAGAGCATTACCTACGTGATTCAAGACTAATTACCAACAACTTTGAAATTGAAACTAGAGAACGCAGACTAGAGTGACAATCCACCTGGTTGCATACTGACATGAGCAAAACCCAAGGATGCTATGCACAACACCATGTGTTGCATCTAGAAATGAACTAATGACTCATTTCAGATGAAACAGCTCAATTAATTGTTGACAATTCACTGGGTGCTCCTCATTGCAACACTTCAGAGACTGACAAGAAAATGCTGAATGAGACCAGTGTGGGATCCAGGCAAACTGCATATACACACAAAAGTTAAATAAATATGTATGCATAAGGGTTTAGCTGACTGAAAAGCAAGCAAAGGCAGACCAAGATGCAAGCAGAAGAGCAACTTGCCCTCTAATGCCAGCAGTTACTCCCCACTCAGTCATTCACCTCCTACACCTACCTGGACATGGAAGGGTCGACTGAGAGTGAGGATGGATAGGGCTGCCTGAATCCACTCGAGATGGGATATACAGGCTGACCTTGCCTGAGGTCACAGAAGAAAGGAACCCATCAATCATATGATATGGTACTCAACGGTTATTCTAGAGTTACAAGCTCTTGATGGGAACTCAGTACTAATCACAAATAAATAGTAAGAGCTAACACTTTCAAGAGTTCTGCTAATGAAACTAATGAATACTTAAATGCTTTGAACTTTCTCCCTTGCTATTGAAAGTGGAAATCTAAGTTTCCACTGGGAGGGAAAGCAAAATAACCAGCCTTCCTCCCCCAAGGCACACAGACTCATGCACACTTCTCTATCTCCATCCCTCTCTCACCTAGTTTTAGAAGCACTGGAATCAGATTTGTTAAACAAGCTCTTAGGAAAAAAGCATCTTATTCCGAATAGTTCTACTGTAGATCAGAGTGAGAACACCAGATGGTGAATTATTAAGCTAAAAAGCCTTTTGAACAGTTTTATTAAATCTTTGAAAACTTAGGACTCTCTCCATTGGCATATGCTATAGTGAGGTACAAGTGGACAGCTTTTCTAGGTAGAAACTGATTCCATAAAAAAACCCCAACCCAAGCACATAAAAGCCCACAGCGACACAAGCCTGTCTTACTACTTAAAGATCAAACTTTGCATTCCAGTAAGAGAAGCTTGTGTGAAGTTTTTGCCTCCTTTGCATTCCCATATATACAGAATATTTTGCCACCAGTCCATCATTTGAGGTCTTTAATTTTTACCATCATTACTACATTTTGATTACTTGATGACTACAATGAACACCCTGAAGTAGCATGGGATGGTAATGTGAGCTAGTACCAGCCCAAACACCTCTACCAGCCAGAGGGACACCACACACATCAATCCTATTCAAACAGTTGCTTATCGACTGGTCAGTCAGCTCTCAGATGAGGAAAAATGGAACCTGGCCTTTGTAAGGTTCAGGACACAGATTTCACTCTTGGAGCATATTACTAGAAATGACCAATGCTCAAAGGGAAGAGGAAATGAAAAAAAAAATAATAAAGGAAGTCTCAACAGTGCTACCTCACAGCAGGGAGCCACAGCATAAGGGACAGCTGAGTATGTCCTGCTGTTGGTGAGTGCTGCTGAACACATCCCTGAGCCTTGAAAGGTTGGATCTTGTCTCTCCTCTTCTTTCTCTTTTCCCTCTTCCCTCCCCCCAGTTTCTGCTCTGAGAAACCATTCAGAAGAAATAATTGACCACATCTGGAAAATGCGTGCTAGCAACTGCCTAGTGGCAGTGGAAGTGAGGAGTCAGCTAAGCAGCAAAATGCGGAAGGGGGTGGGGGGAAAGATTAAAAAAATAGATTGTCAGATACTTCCATATTTTAGTTTGATATCTACTAATTATTTGTTCCAAAAAGGCATGTGGCCTTTCCTGAAAGATATGCCAGCTATACAACATTTCACCATCTTCTGCTCTCTACTTTCTCTGCCTGTTGTCATCTGGATCATGTTTCCCTCTCATGGAGACATTAAAAAAATAAAAAAAAAAAAATCTGCATCCCTCATTGCATGGGCACAGACTAGTCACAATACAGATTCTAAAGCATTGAAATTGTGGCCGAGTTGCCTTATTCCCTGCTCCAAGAGAACTGAAGGCAAGTACATATCTACCCCAAGCAGACATGAAGCACCCTGCCAAATCTATTCCTCAGAAAATACCACATTTCCACCAAAAGAAAAATGACACCCTGAGTGGCAGCAAGAGATCATGAGAGTGCTAGTATTAGCAAGAGCAGCAAGATCTCCCAGTGACAGAGGCCTCTCTCCATACAGAAACTGCAAAAACCAGCAGGCTACAAAAGTTTGTTCTCCATTTGGGGCGGTTTCAAGATTTTCCTCCCCCACCCCCCACACTTCAAAGTTCTTTCTTACCTCCCCTCTCCTCAGTAACTGCAATTTTGTTTATTAAAATTTATATTTAATTACTTGAGAACTGTTTCCTGCTATCTTTCCAAAAGCTAAGAGCCACAAATCTGAGCCATAAGAAACATACAGACTTCAAAGTGAAATCTACACACTTCAGTTCCTGTAGTGTTCAAAAAACACATTCATTTAATTTCAAAGATCGACATTTTTTTCATCTTTTCAACTAAAATAAAGCAGCAATTTCTTACTGGAATGACGTTATTATTATTTTGTAATTGCTGCAATTGATTCAACAATAGTGAATGGTGTGAACATGCACCTGTCTGAAAAGAAGCTAAAAAGTCTTACCAGCCAAGAGGTGGTGTTATCTGTCCAACCCCCCCTGGAGACAAGGGATAGAAGGTAGGGAGATCAGGAGCTGGAGGATGCCTGGACATGCCTGTTAAAAAGCACAGAAGAATGAGTGATTTCCTCTCAAAATACTCCATATATGACCTACAGTTCCCAGCTGATACTACAGTGGAACTAGTGCTTTGGATAAGGAATAACCACCTTGGGTAGTGTTAAAAGGGTTCCACAGGCCACCTGTAAAACAATTTGTGCACGATACTGCAATTCAAAGGGAGATACCAGAAAAAACAGCAGGGAAGGAGGAAATAAATGTATGGGTAAGGACCTGTGCAAGTTTAGATCTCCTGTGAAGTGCATTAGGTACTACTGTCCTCTCAATGGTCTCACCAAGCCCAACAGGATCCTGAGGACCTCCTCTAACACATCATGAAACAAGGGGAAAACACAGCGTTGTCAAAGAGGCAGCACAGCAGAGCTATTAGATTAGGTAAATTGCTACTTTTATATTTTCTTGGGTCCCCTTATGGATTCACAGATTTTGGAAACTTGCTACCACAGAGGATCAGTGGTTAATTAAGAATCATTTTCAGGCCTGTAATGGTCACACTTGATATGATTCATTTGGCTTCCAATTGTCACTCCAGTTCCAACTAAGCTCTTCATCAAGTTGACTCCTGTGGGCTCCAAGGTCAATCTGTTTTGCAATGGCAGTATTTCATGGAAAAATAAGAGTCCCATCAGGAATGATCCATCAGCTCACATTCCCCAGAACACAGAGTCCTACAACTGCAAGAATCACCTCAAGATTAAAGCTAATCCTTATCCCAAAAGGGTCTGTGGTCTCCATTCTTCACCTAAACCTTGTGCCCCCAGGAGACATGGAATTACAGTTGCAGAGGCCACAAAGACACTGGTTTATTTAAATGTGTTTGGGGAAGAGGGGGTGAAGCAGAAGCAATTGTTAAGTCTACTTCACAGCTAAATCAGCTGCTTTAAAAGGGTATTAAATATTTATGTGGTAACACTCCAAAGGTCCAAGACTGAGCGTGTGCTACCTTGAGACTTAGTTTACAGACTGATGTTACTGATTTATTCCTCTGCCAGTTTGTACTTAAATCTTCTGAATTTAATTACAAGATTTGAAGAATATCTGTCGGGACCGTGTGCAGGAAAGCACGGAAAATAATACCAGTGGTGTCATTGTCTCAAAAACCCTGAATTTTCAGACTTGGAACCACACCCTAAGTGAGGATCAAATTTCTGGCCAGCTGTCTTTTCAAAGGTGTAAAACAGCTGGTAGCTGACAGGAAAGGAAACACTTTACATATCCCAGGGCTTTTACATGAGAGGAAGCACTCTTTCCGAGCGGTTAAAATAAAAGAAAACCAAACAAGGTGTAAAAGAAGCCCAGAGTCTCATCTCCCACACCTCTGATGATGACTGATGCTTCTGGAAGTGATGACATGACCTTCCCCCAGCCAGACCAGGTTTGGCACAAAGAGCTGGGCCACTCCTTCCCCAGAATCTGCAGTTCTGACCCATGGAGACAACACTGCTCTCTCTTAACTAATGCACAGTAGTTACTGCTAATCCAAAACTTTTGGCCCCTTATGGAGGGCTACCAGCACCTAGTGCCCTCAGGAGCACACAGAACTACCACATGGCCAGTGCCCTCCAAAGCAAGTTCTCTTGAGAGGGTTAAGGAAAAATAAAAATAAAATTAAAAAAATAAAATAAAGTGAGTGCCTTTTGGAAGGCAGTGCTGTGTGTGTCCATCCCAAAGTGCCCTGGGTGCGAGAGGCAGTCCTGAGGGCAAGCTGTGGACCCCCTTGTTGGAGGATTTTGATGGGAGGAGGGCACCAGGGCTAGGGCACCATGGCAGTGCCTTGTTCCAGACCCACAGTGGGAGGCGAGGACAGAAACAATGGTTGGAGGCGTTTGGCAGAGGACCTGAGGAAAAAAAAAAATCCTCTCTTTGCAGCAACTACATGGGCTACTTCACTGTGGCTGCTCCCACACGCCGGTGGCGCCGAAACAGGGAGTACGGATGGAAAGACCACACACATCAAGGAGACCATCCCAGACAAAACCAGTAGTCTCCAGCCTGCATTATCCACATCATCCATCTCCATCTCTGCCAGACACTGAGCAAAGGGATCAAGAGCCCGTTCAGGAACTCCAGAGGGCAATGAGCTTTGTGCCTCCTGGCAGAGGCCCTCCGCAGGCTTGCACTCTTGACTGGTGGGATGCTGGACAGGGGAGAGGGTAGAGAAGAAGCAGAAGAGACGATGCAGAAACAAGAAACCAACAAACCAGATGTTGCTCAGTTGGGGTCTGCTGTGCAGGAATACAAAAATAAACTGGGGTAAAGGCAAAAAGATGGGGCACAGAAGGGCAAACTCAGCATGCAGTAAGCAGAAACCTCTTAAGCTCACAAACTGCAGCAGCGGGTTGTGCCCCAGCTGTCACAGCCAGCTTCTGCAAGAGGTGGAAATCCCATTCTCTTATCACATGGCACCCCTGGGATTTCAAGGAATGAGTGTGAATATCCTTCTCCTGGGCACTGATGCAAAGGAGGAAGACAAATGAGGACAGGAGGTCTTCATTTGCTTCTTCCAAGTCTGAAAAAGATATTGTATGCGTATTTACAGGCCAGACTTTCCAGGCAGAGTGCTTTTTGTATTCCCCCTCCCTAGAAAAAAACAAAACCTAACCAACAAACAGCAAAAACCACACAGAGCCACCAGGCCATAGCATTTTCTGGATGTAGCCCATGTCATTATCTCCACAACACAGCCAAAGTAAAACCTAGGCATTCCGGGAAAGACAGAACAAAAAAAGTCTCTCTCCCTGAACAATGATGACTAAAAGCCTCTTCAAATAAATGGGACAACTGTGCATATGGATGTGTGCCCAGGTAAAGCAGAGCTTCAGGATTTTGTCAAAAATGGGTGCCACAGCGCATGGTGGGACACGCGAGCACAGAGAGAGGCAGGGAGAGGCACCCTCCAGGCCCGGTCGTGGCACTGACGGCTTCCTGCCCATGCAGAGATATCCAGACTACAGTGAATGCCTTTGTAAAGCCTCTGCTCTCTCTCCTTCCCTCCTCACCACCAGCTCTCCCATGCAGGCTTTTTCTGCTGAGGTTCTTACCAAACCCTGGCTCAGGCCCGTGAAGGCCATGGCCAGTCCTCCCTCTGCACCTCCCCAACTTCCATCACATCCCTCCCCAGCTCCTGCAACCCACTGCAAGCAAGCACACCCTTCCCAGGAACCCTTTGTGTTCTCCTGGGTACTGGGCAGCAGCACTTGGCACAGGCTGGGATTGACACCTTGCAGACTGTCTGCTCTTCCCTGGGGCCTGCAGACTGACCCTGAGCAGGGCTGCTCTGACATTCCTAGACGTGGATCTAGGAGGCTTTTGTGTTTTCCTTAAGGGCTCCTAGAGGTGCAGAGAAAACTGACATCCATGACTCGGACATCTAAAAAGATGCTTTCTGCAGAATGCAGCCAGCACATGAAGGTTAAAAACTGTCAGATTTGTAAAGCTTTTACTTGCACAGGCTCAAAACTATGTTTATGGGCTATGCTTTGATTATGCTAACTGACATACAGAAGAATATGGACAGCCAGAATACAAGGACACAAAATAAAGTGAAAGAAAATCTTTCAATGACACCACTACTGAAGTACTTGTCCCCTGTTTTTGAGGTGAGGGATGGCTGCCCTTTCTGTATTTGCATGCTGCAAGCCTTGGGCACCACAGGAGATGGTGAAGACTGGCTGCTGTTTACTGAGATTTTGAAAGACTTTGATGAGAAAAGCAAGCCCAAATTATCACATTAGAAGGAGCATAAAAATTTAAGTAGCCAAGTTAAGCATCAGCATCAGGGCAGAATTACCATCTCTGAAAGTGGGCATGTGCACCCGGAAGCCTCCCTCTAAAATATTACAAATTGGTAATATTGGCTCTGTCAGCAGCACAAAGGGCACCAGACCACCCTGCATCCCCACCGTGCTGGGAAAGGATGGGCTCACCTTGTTTGGAGCTGACGTCAGAGGGGACGTGAGACGGGTGTGACCCCGGGGAAAAGTGCTCATCGCTGTAGGTGATAAGAGGGGTGAGGGGGTGAACCGCATGAGAAGGCTGTACCACGGGCACCTTGTTGGACTGCAAGAGAAGGACAAAGATTAAATTGCGTTAGCGAGGTGAGGCTTCTGTTTTGATAAAAAAAACAAACCACCCAACATTTCCAAAATGCTATTTTTAAATATTTGCATTACTGAAGCGGGGGAAACAGATGGACAGACATGACATTGGGACTAGTGGATGGAAAGCAGGTTTGCTGCCAGAATCGGCATCCTCAAACCACTGGCACCCGAAGAGGGATGCAGATATTGAGGAAATGCAGGGAAATGGGTGGGGGCCGGGAGCAGGAAGAAAGGCATTTGGGAGACATTGAGACAGGGCTGCGGAAATGGCAAACGGAGAGCTGCAGGGCAGGAGGAGCAACGTGCCGGGCAGGCAGGCACCGTGCACCAAGGGCTGTGACCCAGGACAGCAGTCAGCAGCGCTGGAGAAACCCTTTGGTTACGGGAACAGCATTTAAAAAAAGAAGGCTTAAAGTACAGGTTTGCCGTATCTCCAGCCTTAAAAGCTTCATCAGCTTCCCTCTTCCTCCCCACTGCTCTTCCTGCATGGCCGTGGCATGGCACAGATGGGACAAACCCCTGCCATCACCAGAGGAACAGCAAGTTCCCTTGCAGTTTTACAAACTCTGGTTGAAAACTCTTGTCTGTCTACTGGTAACTAAAGGGCCACCCTCAGAAGGCTGATTTCATATATGAGCAGTTGGCAGTGGCCTCTCAAGAGGTTCAGCTGGAGGGGAAACCTGCTGAGCTGGGAGGCCTCTGACTCTATCAAGGAGAACTCAAACCGCTACAAACACCCACAAGGGTCCTGAAATGGGTGCCATAAGGTGATGTCCTAGCAGGGCAAGATGCACACTTCCCACCAGCACTTCCCAGAGTGCAGAGGCACAGGGGAGGAGGCAGCCAGCACGACAGAAGGATGCTGTCCAAAATTACCCCCTAAGATCAAGGCTGCAAGACAACAGAACTGCTCAATCCCAATGAAATCCTGCATTATTAATGCTGCTTGAAACTCAAGTTGCTCTTTCCAAGGTGGGACGAGGCACAGTGATGATGCCAGCATGTAACAGGCACTCCTCATTTGTGCCCTGCCACTCTACCTTGCCCCTTAGCACAAATAATTATGGAACAAACAGGTTTTTAATAAACCAACCCCCCCCCCCCCCCAAAAGAAAGCTATCCTTCAGCCAGACACACTGACAGCAAGGACAGCTGCCAAACATAAGGAATTAAAATAATAATAATAATTTAAGAGGCCAATGAAATTAATTTTCCTTGAGGTCACTGTTGAAATTCTGGCACAAAGCAGATGTTAAGACAAAGCTCCATGCATAAGTCCATGATTTTTCTGGACTTCTGGAAAAAGACAGGTTATTAAATGGACAACTCAATTTATTGTTAAGGCTGGTAGGAGTACAGGAAAGGGAGCAAATGGGAACCAGTGCAGCATTTTCTGCTTTCCTTGTTTCCAGAGCACCACCTTAAGGAACTTGCATTAGCAGGCAGTATCTTCTTAATGTCTGACCTATCCCTCCAGTCATATAGCTCAGAATCTGGTGCCATGAATTTTTGCTAAATTATGCTATCCTTGCTCTCCTCTTAATTTTACGGTTTTCAACACAGATTTGCTTTCCTGTGGGAAAGAGATAAGAACCTGAGGATTTTAATTTAAGCTTCGGCCTTGTCTTATATTTTGCAAGATGGAGAGAGAAAGCAGTGCTAGTAGGTGTTTTAAAGCCAACAAGCATTAGGTGCATTTTTGTGACCAAATAATAAAAGCAATATGAATTCTCAATAATATCTATGAGTTGAGTTGTAAAGGGGATAGCTCAGACTGCTATTCATCTTCCCCATCCGTATAAATTCCACAAAAAACAGATGCCAACAAATTTCAGACGATTTACAAATCAGGCCTCAGTCTTTAGCTATGAGACTCGTGGGCCAGCCCACCATTCAGCCATTACTTTATCAACAATAAACTGTATATTATGAATAAAGATAAGCAATAGATGTATTTAGGTCACACACACACACAGCTGCTAATCAGCATTAATTTCTCAAAATTTAGTAATTAACATTTTGTATTGTACTGGATGTAATTGTCATGCACGCCCCTGGTATCAGGGTTCCTTGCTTTCAGAAATCACCCATTTATACTTGGAGCATGCCAATCCCTGTACCCCCTTGCTCTCCAGCATCCTGCAGATTTTATTTTATTTTCTAATTCTCGGCACCTTATCCCCTAAGCCCATGGCAGCGGCTTTCAACGGGAGGAGGAACCATGAGAAGTCAGGAGAAAAGCAAACGGCTTGTCAGCGGGCTTAAAATTAACATATAAACAGGCCATATCTCCATTAAGAGCATTTGGGGGTCTGCAGAGCCAGAAACTGGGAGGAAAAAAAAGTAATAATAAAAAATAGCAATAATGCAAAGCTTCCCAGCCTGCCTGCCCCACACTGCTTTGGGAAGACCCAGGGATCTCTGGCAGCTAAATCCTGCTGGTTGCCCCAGTGAGACAGCAGAGGGGGGCTCAGTGGGCACAGGCTGAGTCTCCCTGTCCCCTCTGGTCCCACCGAGATGGCCACAGTGATCAACAGCAGGAGGACACACAGGGTGACACATGCACAATGAAACCAGGAGGAGAAAGACCTGATGACATATTTTCCAAAAGCCCTACGGACTTGAAGTGGTTCTGCCACATCTCCTGCCCTACAAGGCAACCCAGATGGGTTATCTGGGCCTTCCTCACAGAGAGGGTTCAGGGCAGGAGACCAAGCCCTCATATGCAGGCACCTGGATGCCCCTCTTGCCACCCTCTCAACCCTCCCACCTGCTGCTGCAGTAAGGGATTGGCCCCAGGCACCCCATCCAGTCCCATGGACACTGCCCTGCACCATTTACCCTGGGGACACCTGGACTGGGGATGTTGCCAAAGCCCTTTCCACCATCTACTGCTCCCAGTGGGCACTACTGCTTTCCAGGGCTGGGAACCATGGCCAAATCCTGCCTCACGCTGAGGTACAAAACTATGCTGATGAGACTGCTTCTACTGCTTCCCAGTCCTTACCCACTGGCTTTCTCCTCCCACAAACATGGCATCCCTACTACATTTGTCTCCCCAAATCCTCCAAAGACAATGCATACAGCTGCAGAAACACTTGAGAGACTGACAGAGATCCAACCTTGGTCAGCATGACCTCCTACAGGGGGAACTCCGTTCCCCATGGCTTGCTGAGCACCTGCTGACCAGGCCCACAACCAGCTCTCCCTGGCACACTGGTGACATTTATATCTAATTCAGGCATGGTCCATAGAGTGCCTTTTCTCCTCAGCACAGCCTGAAAATCTACAAAACCCAATCAGTCCACACGCCTTCAATGAGACAATTACATAGTTGCACGCTGTCCTACGTGAGGTTCTTCGGTATTTCAGTACAGAAATTATACTTTATCCACCCACCAAAATGTAACATTTTCATGCAAGTAGGTACTCAAGCAGCTTCTAAAACCACAATAAAGTGAATGAGGATTAAATTTCCATTTCTCTTCTCATTTCCAAGACAATCTGTAGAAGCTGAACATTAGTTGAAGCTGTCCCTGGCATAGCTTTGATACCACATAAATGATATATTACCACACCAGTGAAGTTCTATTCTCTGTGCCTAAGGCTTTTCACACGACCTGGAAAGTAAAGGGAATGGGACATACAGCACAGCACAAGATAAGCAATTTGGAAAAAGTAAATTACTAAGAATGAGCACCTGTCGTTTACAACCTGAAGACCTCCTGTTATGTTTTAGGACACCTTACCATGCATGTGTTACCTGTTACAAACACTAAAGGCTACTGACAAAGGGATAGCCTAGGGACACACAGCTGTGCCCCACAGCACTCAGCTCAAAGGACACTCCTGAGCGACTCAACCTCGCTGGTCTCCTCCTCAGAGACCACACGGCCACCAGGGCTCCAGTCCCAGAGCACAGTCTTGCAGCACAGTCCACGCCAGCATCCTTTGGGAGCTGGCCTCTGTGCAGCCCTCCCTGGGGTGCTTTTTCTCATCAGCTTGGCCTTCCCAGTTGATACCTTTTATTTCTCCCAAGCATGTGCTCTCAGGCTGAACTGAGGCAATGCAGGCAGGGGACAGTCCCCTGAAGGACACCAACTGTACTGGAAACAGCAGGAGCCAAATTATTTGGCCAGTTAGGGCTAAGATGAAACTGCTATTCAGTTTTATGACTGACCTGAAATAAAACCCCAAAATCCCCAGTACAATGCTGGTGGGCAAAGGGTAAGAGCTTGCAGGGAAGAGGGCCCTGACCCAGCAGTCTGCATTATCCCAGCAGGAGCTTTGCTATGCACTGGACATCTGTTTAAAGCTATTGCTGTGTTAAAGTAACTCAGGAACAGGTCAGGACAACAGCAAACACTTCCCTTGCAAACAGCAATCACAGTCTGCAAGTGATAAAGCTTAAACTTACTCAGGCATCTTGGCCAGGGCAAGGAGCAGAGTGAGAAATCCCCTGGCAGCAACACTGGCACAGCTGCTGCCACATGGCTGGGTGACCCCTGTGAGTGCCCTGCACTGGCAGTGCTGCACCTGCACTCGCAGAGCCACTCACCATTTCAGACATGTGCCTGCCCTCTCATCCGAGGAGCACACTGTGAGACAGTTCAGATTATCTCTGGTGAGTTCATGATGAAATGCTGCAGCACAAATTCAGTCTGAACCCAGTAAGTTTTCCCTCATTCTTGAAATTCTTCTGAAGAAAAGCAAGACTCCAGAAAAAAACAAACCTGAAGCCCTCCCCAAACACCCAGCTAATGCTTCACTGAAGGCCCACACCTGTAAGGTATCCTATATGCAACAAGTGTGCAAAAACTATAAAAAGCCTGAGACAGCCACGGCAAAAATGCCTGTAGGTCAGCGCTGGGCGAGGCGGGCAGCTGGGAGCTCCTGCTGGAGCTGGGGCCACCATTTGTTCCAGCTGCTGCACAGAGAAAGATATTAAATTAATGACCC